CATGAGGGCACACTACTGCCTCATGGTCAACTTGTTGCCCACCACGATGCCCAGGTCCAGACCATCAACAGTTACTGTATTAAAAAGAGCTCAGAAAAATCAACAATCTAATATATGTCTCAAAAATGTTGCCAGTCTTTCACAAGAAACGACTAAATGGACGATTCTAAGTTGTACATCAATGTAAGATATAGTAATCAGAAATGTTCATTGTCATTTTTCACAATACCAACTTTGAAAAAGCCCTTTCAAAATGTTGRTGTTTGATGTTTGTTTCCTTTTTTCTCTTCTGGGGGAGTAAATTCAAGATACTACAGATACTAATGGCTTTTTCTTTTGCGTCATTCCTACAGTCTATGTCCCCCTTCATGACAGCCCAACATTTGAGTGTATCAGCTGCTCACTCCAGTTTTATGTCATCTGCAAAACTGTCRTCTGCAAAACCGATGAAACTTTTGCAGATGCAAAACAGCCACTTCCTCCAAGTCACTGATAAATATGCTAAGCTGGACAGGTCCCTGGATGGATCTTTTAGTACACCTGTTGTAACAGGCACTGATTTCTCTATGTCCAATTATCCAACAAGATTTGGGCATATGGTTTTCCACACAACCAGATTGTAATGATTCAGTTTAGATAAAGAATATTTATGGGAGACAGTGTCAAGAACTTATCCAAAGTTGAGGTAAATAACATTTACTGTTCTCTCATCTGCAGATATATTCATTTTATCATAGAAGGCAATCAAGTTGGTCTGCCATCATTTACCCTTGATAAATGTAGACTGCCTGCTTGTAATCATCTTTTTCTCTTTCATGTGCCCAGAAATTTGCTCAAAAAAGATTTGTTTCATGAATTCTCCAAGCTGACAGACGTGTAGTTCCCCAGGCTGAACTTTTAGGCTTTTTTTGGAGAGGGTGCAAATTTTTATTTTCTCCAGTTATCAGAGATATTTCCAGATCTCCATGTCTTTCCAAACTTGATAGAGAGTGGATTGAGTGGCTATCAGCACTCTTAACTGCAGCCTTTTGTTGCATGGGTTTGAAATTTCTCATGTAATACCTGACATGACCTTGGCACTCTATTGGTAGTTCCTCTCCTCCTTAAACCTTTTGACTAGTCACAAAGGCCTGGAACACACTCTTGGTGAGAGCTGAGAAAAAGAAGCCCTTCAGTCTTATCTGTGACCACAGCTACTAATCCACCTACCCCATTTCAGCAGTGAACCCACATTTTCCTTGCTCAGTCTATTATTACTCATGTACTGCTAGAAATTCTTCTTGTTGTTCTTGACATCCCAGGCCAGTGTCAACTTTGAGTGAGCTTTGGCATTCCTACATGTTTGGGAAACACTTTTAAACACTTCCTCTGTAGCTGTTCCAGTTTACATCTCCTGTGTATTACCTTTTGCACTGGAGTTCCCCCATGAGTTCCTGTTTAGGCAAACTAGTCTCCTGACGTATTTACTTGTTTTTCTGAGTATCTGGATGTTTTCTGAGTATCTGTTCTTGGTGCTGGAGGATACCTGCCAGTTTTCCCGAACTATTTTCTTGAATAATTTCAAGTGTATTATCCTTTTCTAGGAGAAAATAGGAAACAAATGGGGAGTTTAAAATCTATTTAACATGACTTTAGTGATATTTCCTGAATGTCTTGGCACTGCTTTTATTAAGCTTTTCTGTTTCTTTTCCTGGACAGGGTACATGAATAGCTCAGGACTGAGCACTCCTGGTTCACAATTCATGGCTAGGTTATGGTGGACTAGAGGAAAATTATTCCTCAGTCTAGCAATTTCAAGTTGAAGAGGAAAGGCTGCATAATCCAGTGTAGTTTAGTTCAGTCCATCACTGCTTTAGCATGTGATTGTAAGCATTTCAATTCTGGCCACTATATACTTAGGGAAATGCWAACTGATTTGCACGCCCAGCATGAACTAAGTTTTAATTTCACTGAGAAATTGACCCTCTTGTACTACTGCCTGAAAAAGAAGAAGCTCCCCAAATGAGTATTTCATCAAAAGACAATGATTAACTTTGCAAAAGATAAAGAGTTCTTGTGTGCCAAAAGCTGTATGCACAGAGTTAGGTTAGCAGCTGGGCATTTCTGGGGATGGCCTCTGCCTGCGCTGGTATCTAGAAGCTTTTCAACACTGGAACATGCCCAGAACAACAGTTCCCAGCATAGACATGGCCAGGGTTTACTAGTGATGTCCTGAACAACTCCTGGGCATAGTCCAGAGGCTAGCTCAGGACAGGGGTAATGTCTGATCAGCAGTTTGCATGTGTTCACATAATTTAAGAGTTTAATAATATGTTCCTGGGCTCTTAAACGACAATTAGCCACAGTTAGACAAAGTAGCCATGAGAATTTTTAGTCTAATATTTTAGTTGTGTCATAAAAAATAGTCTAACACTTAAATGTCTATATTCAAATGTCTAGCATAGCAGTCCAAGCTTTTGAGTCGCTGACAGTGAAAGTGATAATGTATCAATTATTAAAATCAGTGGGGCTACACACAGAATAAAGTTCTTTTTGATGCAAATAATAGAACTGGAAAGCTAACTCTGTTAAGGAGGAAAACTGCTGTCCCTTTTCTTTTTAAGTCTTTAAACAACCTTTGAGATTATAGTGAGCTTCCAGCATTTCGTCCTCAGGTAGTAGCAAATGAGTGGCTTACTGGCCAAATATCAAAAGAGGGGAATCAGATGACAACATTTTTGTATAACTCTAGATACAAGATGAGTCTTGTATGGACTTAGACTTTAATCAAAGGAAGTCTTGTGTGTGCTTGGCTATTATCTGTTCAGATTCTGACATTCTTGCTGGAATATGCTTCCTTCCCAAAGAAAGGTGCTTGTAAAACAAATTATACGAGTACAATAGAGTTTCATACTGCACCCCTGATCTGACCAGGATATTAAAAGAGACTGGAAGAGGTAAGCATACTTGCCTTTTGTCCTCTCTGTTGATYATAATTTTTATAGTGACTACTTGCCTGTTACAAGGATTTACTTTGTCTGCCTCTTGCTACACTTTGCAGGGGATGTAGAAATTACAATTTCCAAGCAGTGATAGTGCTGCTATTCTGTGCAAATATGAAATAACACACTTTGCTTCTACAAAACCAGTGATATGGAGCTTGAGTATCGCATTTAGAGCCATACTGTATGCTAAAGACATAGCTATGTTCACCTACATTTCTTCACACATAAAAATTAAAAACAGAAATTTACTCTTTGATCCCTATTCATAGTAAAAACTCAAATAAAAAGATTTTTTTTTTAACTTTAGAAAGAAAAATCTCCTAAATCCTGACTTACTAAAGTAAGAAGGTGGAAGAAGCTGTGGAAAACAATAATGCAAAAAACTGGAGCCATATCCGCAGGAGGAAAACAGGAAAGAATGTGTGCTCTTGCAAAGTAAATATAATATTGTAAGTCACCCCAAAAAGACTTTATTACAGAATAGTCGCTAAAAAAAAAGAAAAAAAAATCCCAAAAAGAGAAGCTTGCCAGAAACCATGAAGTCCATAGAAGCCTATGAAGCCATTTAAGGTATATTAAAAGRCTTGCTAAAGGAGATAAGGTGAAACCAGAAGACCTCAGGAAGTATTTTGTCCTACAGATGCACTTAGGGATGTTCTCATTCCATCAAGGAGAATGAAAGGGAACATATTTCTCAAAACAAAGTGCTGGTTGAAGAGGCTATAGAAAAAAATCAGTATCACATCAGTTCAAGATAAAATTCAGCAAAATCTGTTGTAAAGAACCCAAGAATGAAACGGTTTGAAGTATTCATAAAGGAAGTGTGCCTGCGATGAATGTTAAGAACAGATTTGCTGATTGAGAAGCTACAGAATAAACTGATACTGTAAAGGCCTTGAGCTGGAAACTAATGTCACTGGTAATCACTCTTAAGCTCTTTTGCTGCACAGGGATGGGACTATTCATAAAAATCAAGCTACATGTAGAGATAGCTCTGGGGCTAGTATTTACAGACCTACAGGCTCAGTAGCTTGGGAGATTTTGACATGAGTTAGATCTCTAGCAGTTGGAAAAAAAGCTTATGCCAGTTGGAGACCACTCTTTTATCGTATGGTTTGGTGTTCTTACTAAATAAATGTTAAGTATTATAGACAGTATTATGGGTTGTGAAGTTCACAACCAAGAGTTGTATGCTGCAGTATCCTCTGTAGGAATAGATTTATGCGGTCAGAGACAATACTTGGTTTTCCCCTTGAACATGTAAGTGGACTCTATCTCTGTGATCTATTCTAATAGCAAGTAAGGGACTGGGAATCTGTCCAGTCTGCAGTCCATGTTGCTGTTGCATGGAACAGTTTTCCCAAAACCAGGAAGAATGAGAGGATGAATAGTGGATGTCATGTCCCGTTGTATCTCAGCTCATACTGGGTCCTATAAATTAATTGGAAATTCTCAAAATAAAAAAGGTCAAAATCTCTCATCAGACAAGTCCTTTTCTTCTCTTGGTAGTGACCTGTATAATCTACTAGTTCCCTGGTAAAGATATCATTGGATCAGAAGATGGGAAAGACATTCCTACACCTCCATATAACCCAAGCATATCCTCAGGATATCCTCAGGAATGGCTCATATTCCTTTACAATCACAAGATATAACCAGCACTCTGGTACTATGTGGCTGCTATTTCTTTTTTGACAAAGAATCACAATTTATGTCTCTAATTAAAAAAAAATTCAATCATATTTGTAAAAAAAAAAAAAAAAATCCAAAAAAAAAAAAAAAAAAAATCCAAAAAAAGACAACCAAACAGCTGAAGTCAGTCCAAATTCAAAGCAAACACAATGGGATTTCAAAAAACTGTTTATGAGGTAACAGTCTCTTTTAGCTTCACTACTGCCTTTGTATTTGAAAAAGAAGAAAAATGGAGAAAACCTGCGGATTATGTCAGAATTTACAGAAAGATAAAGCTTCATCTGAACTGAGAAAAACACTTGCAGATTTCTCATTTTACTTCGGTTATTTCACTAGTTCGGCAACTAATATYATCTCTTTGGGTTCTGTTGTTATCGACTGCATTTTGTACTCAATCTGCAGAAAATAAAAAAAAAAAAGTCCATTAGTTTTATAAATAAACATAGCCTCTCCTAGCTTATTTGTAATTYTGAGAGTATTTCAGTATTTGCTGTATATTTTATAGGAATATTTCACTTTATTGCTTAGCCAACAAGTTTTCCTTAGTAGGATACAACTGAATTTTTAACCCCTCTTTAGACTCAATGCAGGCACATGGGTTTATGCAGGCTTAAATTTAGGCAGAGAGAATTTATGGTTTTCTCTAGCACACAATGCAAATTTTCATAAATCTTCTCAAAGATTTATTGCTGGAATATTGGAATGTATTGCTGGAAAGGGATGACTAGATGTAGGTGAGCTGCTGGTCAGTGTGCTTGTCTGCTGAAACCACGTGTCTGTTCACTGCATTCTCTTCTATCATTTTACAAAATCCTGTTCCTAACTTCTTTCTCTGTCACCTTCCTCCCCACCTTGTAGGCATGYCCTAGACAGCTTCATGTTGGACTAACTGGTGAGCAGGAGGAGACTCACACCTGGAACGACCACGGTCAGGGCTGGTGAGCAGGTCAGGGGTCCTGGGAATGGGGCATAGACATTTGGTGGACTTACAAGAAGCTGATATGGGAGGGTCTAGCGCATGTGGGTTGCTGTATGTGCAGATAGTAAAGGTGGGTTAAAACACCCTTGGTGAATTTCATCCCTGTTCTGCTGATGAAGAGCAGCAGTTATTCTATCTTATGCTCTTTATCATCTAAGCACTGCCTTTTAGATGTCAGTAGAACCTTGAATTTCATACTTTTTTTCATAAATAGGAAAAAAAAAAAAGATACCTCTAGAGTTGTATCAGGCAGTACCCTAAATGTGTTTTTGGGCTCTGGGATTTGTGGAAATGCTGCTTTCCAACAGCCAGTCCTGGAGACCAAAAGGAGATGGAATAGAAAAGAAAAAATAAGTAATCAGCATGTACAAAACAACTGCATCCCTAAATGAGCTCTTATCCTTCCCTTCCAAAGCAGAATAAATGAAAGAAAAATGTAAAATACATATTGTGTCAGCACAGAGTGAACACCATTCAGGAAAACAGTAGGCATTCTAGTGAATCTTCCACAGTCTGTATTGGAAAGGACAATCAAACTGTGTGTTTGCAATAAATTTATTACATCAAGGAATCAGGCGATGTACTCTACAGACAGCATACACTACAAATATCCACAGCAGTTGTACTACTAATATGAGTAATAACATATAATTGCCAAGCGGGGACTTTGGATATGACACTCCAGTGCACACATCTCATTTTATTTAATTAATTATTTCATTTAATTAATTATTTTATTTAATTGTTATATTTAGTTAGTTAGTTAGTTACTGCACTGCGAATAGAAAAGGTTTTATCTGTGCTACAAAAACACCTCTACCATATTGGTTTTCTAAAGAACTTCATATATGTTTCACACATACACAGGCAAAATAAAATAAATGCATAACTTAGGCCTACCTTTTGCAGAAAAAAATTGTGAGGATCGCCACTAAGAATATTGCAACAGAAGCAATAACTAAAGCCAATATTGAAGGAGAAATAACTTCTTCATTTCCTGATGGAATAACAATTACAATATTTTAGTGTAATAAAAAGAAATAGAGACATAACTATGTCAAACGCCCACTTTGGACTGACTGGTGGATATCAGTCTGAAAGGTTTGTGTGTAATAAAAATCAGCTCTTTAACTTAGTTCCTAAGCAGGAATATATATTGGGAGATATTAACATTGAACCTGTTTGCTCATCTTCTGAAGTAAATGCCCTCTATGTTTTCACTTACACTTGTATAAATTTTAATATTAGTTTTGAATCGTCTGAATGCTTGAGTGTTAAGAGATGTACAAATACTCTTTCCTTTACTTCACAGTAGTGTTGATTGAAACCAAATGTTTGCATGTAAATTATATTTTTGTGTTAGCAGGTGCAAAGCAATGTGTGAGGTAAACAGGAAATAAGTGCATAAAACTAGACCAAAGAGTTGATTTTCATTCTCACCGAACTCAAGAGGTGCACTCCACTCCCCCCAGGCTGTGTTTACCAGACAGAAGTCACTGCCAGCTGCTCTGACTTTCACACGGTATCTCTTTTTTGAGTTGAAATTTTGAAATAAGTAGCTTTTCTTTTCCTAAAAGTAAAGCAATTAAACTGAGAAGCTTTTCTTCATCACATTCTACATGCTAACAGTGTGTAAGGTTCACTTACCACTGAAACTTTCACAAAGTTATGAGAGCATTAGTTATGACAGGAGACTGTGCTACAGAGCAAAATATAAATGCTTGTCTATTATGCATATAACATGCATGAATCCATATATTTCCCTCCAAAAATAACCTTTCTCTCTGTAAACCTTTTTTGTTTTGTTTTGTTTTTGTTTAGAAGAGTTTATGTCTTTTCACTCTACCCTCTAATTTCTTAAGAATCTCAAAAAGTGTGCGTTCTTGATAGTTTCCCTTTCCTATGGCACTTTCATGGAGGACAAAGAGGATGTTGGACTGTCACATTCCAATATTGCTAGGGTGACGTGCAGAATAAACTCTCTGCATGCACCTCCCATTTCTCATGTGCATTATGGCTTTTCAAGACAAAAATTCCATCCAAACCTGTAAAATTTRTATTATTAAAGAAGTTACTCAAACATGCTTACTCTTGGATACTTTCAGAATATGCAGGCTGTGCTAACTAAAGAAGTACAGGATATCTGGAGAACAGCATACATGGATCCCCTTCCTGACAGGCTTTTGTTATCTTTGTTTTTCATAAACAACTAAATTCSTAGGAGATATTTGCTCTGCTTCTTGTCTCTGCTGTCATTGGCATATTAGTTCAAAATATATTCAAAYTTTTGAGGGATAGGGGGTCAGGACATTATAAAACTGAAGGTTTTACAAAATATATAATAGCAATAAGGTAGGATAAATGTCATAAACATTATAATGATTTATCAGTATCAGTTTGGTACATTTAAAAATATATAAATAGGCATCTCAAAAAGCATAGGATATTGAGTGTTGTTATACTGATATTAAAGGAAATTGCATACTATTTGCTTTTCACAGATGTCTATGAAGCCAACATATTACTGATTAACTTAACAGGAAGACTTACAGTTATACTGGTAATGCCTTCCTCTAGATTATCCTGTAAATTAGAAAAAAAAAATAGTATTTTTATGATTGCTTATTTTGTGATTAGATTATAAGTCACATTTTATCTTCTATCTTCTTTCACCCCATGGCTCTTTCTTATCTACATGACAGTTTCTTCAGAGCTGGTGATTTACCTCAGATTTAAGATCTAATATATATTACTTCTACATTGCCAAGTTTATATTGCGAGTAATTCTGCCACGGAAAAGAATTTGGTTTCACCAAAGTAAAGAAATAATTTTTCTTTCAGATTGGTGACTGAACTGAAAATATTTATGCTTAAAAAATAATGTCATTACTTTTAGTCTTAAATGTTATGTAAATATTGTTTCCTTTTCCATCAGATGAAATCTTATGAGGTTGTCATTAGTTTAAATAGATTTTAAGCTGCCCTTTTTTCATAGATACCATAAAATTCACTCATTTTCCTTGAACAGCTGTTACAACTGCAATGCACTGCCGTGACCACTTGCAGCTAGTTACTAGCGAACTGTATCTTCTCCATTTGCTTGTCATAGCACAAGCATCACATGGTGCTGAAGGAACAAACAGATGTCTCTGTGAGGCTGTTCTCTTTAAAAAATCATGGCAACTGGCAGAATTTCCTAATAATTGGAAAAAGACAGCATCACGCTTGCCTTGAATAATGTCAAGAAGGTTCAGGGACCTACAGTTACTCGCACTTCAGGGGAGCTTCCCATCACTGGGAAGCTTGTGGAGCAAATCTCCCCTCTTATAGAAGCTCTCTATAAATATGCAAAGGGCAGGAAGGTCATTGAAAGCATCCAGCCAGCATGTGTTTGCCAAGGGTAAATCATACCTGAACAACGTAGGGTGAGGTGACTGGCACTGCGGACAAGATTTTAACAGAGCCTTTGATTCAGTCTTCCACTGTCTTTACCAATTTAGTCAGAAATGGGCTSCATACAATAAGGTGTGTGGAAAATTGGCCTGCTTAGGGAATTGTGGTAAATGGTGTAAGGTCTATCTGGTGTTCAGTAACTAGTATAGTCCCTCAGGAATTTTACTAGGACCAATACTAAACAATGTCTTCATTAATGACATGGAAAGTGTAACACAGCACAACCCCAGCAAGCTTGAGGACAACACCAATTTGCAGGAGCACAGCTGCTACTTCTGGGAACCTGGAAGGGCTGGAGAAATGCACTGTSAGAAACCTCATGAAATTCAACAGGTGCAAATGCAARGTTTTGCATATGGGAAAGAATAACCCCATACAAYAGGATGGTCTAGTGGCTGACTGCCATTCACTTCCATCTTCATTGAATAAGTCGTCTAAACACCCTTAATTGTCRTGAGAGTCATTTTAAAGGAAAGGAGATATTTGTTTCACAGAGTGTATCCTGATTTGCAACAGACATTGAAGAATCCAAGAAGCTTCACTGCAATTACAGTATGCAAAGGTGATACAAACTTTCCTGAAACCTAATTTTGCTATAAAAGTAAGAAAGTTTTTTAGCAGTTAGTTGGACCTAGGAGAAAATTCAGCTTTGAGAGGGCAAGACCCAACCAGAATAAGCAATGTCAGATAAWAGAAATCCAGGGAATGTCTTGAATCTGTGGCCCAAGCTGACTAATACTGGCCATTTTTTTCACTCTGTAGACACCATCTGCCATCTTGTGGKCATTTGATGCAATTCTTTCATAGCTATGGTAGCTAGCGTCTGCTCTTTTTGAAATGAAACACATCAACCTATTGATGTACAGGTTGCTTTATTGCTTTATTGCTCCTGTATTGCTTTAAAAAGACTTCTAAAATCAAGATCTGAATTTGAATTTCAGGAGATTATATGATTCCCTTATTTTTTTAAATATAGCCTGTGTTTAGATGCTCTGCCTTTCTGTTTTCTCTCACATTTATTTTCCTTTTATTTAACATTACACTGTTTCAGCTCTTAAACAAATGATTATTTTGCTTCCATATGATATCTGGAATATTGTAACCATAACACATAGATAAAAATTGACTCATATGTATTTAACATATGTAATTTTCTATATATATATTCAATATTTCCATGTACTGCATWGATAGGATATATAGAATCTTCAAGCCCCCTTCATCAATCCAGATTCTTTAATTGAATGTAYTGTCCAGTTTTTTATGTTGTCCAGAATTTACAGTCTACCTCTGCTCTTTCATAGAGATAGTACTACTGGAAAAAACTGCAGTTATGGACAGTTCCAGTAAGTCTGTACAAAAGAATAATCTTTTTTTCTTCTTTTTCTGAGTTCTGTCAAAGCCMAAACTGTGGCTGTGTTCAAGTCTTGATCAATCCATACATGCTTCTCCCCGTAGTCCTACACAGTCCTACACACCCAATGTGCCTTCAYTAATGCTTTGTTCAGGGGAATCGAGACAAAAAGATGGAGCAGTACATGGAGGAGTACAAGAATGGAAGAATGGAAGGACCACAAAGAAATACAGTACTACATATGAGAAAGRCTACACTGTAAAAGAGAAAGATCTGTTATATATGTGCGTAGGTAAATGTATGCTAATGTTAAATACAGATTAAAAAAATCTCTTACCTTATATTTTATGTTAACTTCATATTGAAAACAATAATCTTTCCCTGCAYGACTTCTTTTTGGTTGCTGCCACTGAATTAGGCAACCTTTTTGTTTTCCATCACAGTTAGCAGTAACGTTTAATGGAGGCATGAACTTCTCTGAAATGATACAACCAAAATACAATTAAAATCATTTAATCTCTTTTTGTTTTGATAAAAGACAGTGCGATTGCAGGTAACATAACTACAGAGAAAGATTCTTATTTGTATCTATTCTTAGAAACTCTGCTAGATGCATTTGAAAGATAAGCTTTTCAGATCCTTTCTCCAGGATCAGATAAAGACATGGACTGAGCCAGGGAATAAGACTTAGGACAATATCAAGATGCAAAACTCTTCCATTTACTTTAGAAAGTACTTAGAGTTATTTTCTTCTTTTTATGAGGAGTTATTTTCTTCTTTTCCTTATGGAGGAAGAACAAGTTGATGCTGAGGAATCCAAAGGACTTTTCTTTCTTCAGGTCTCCTCACCTGATGCTTCCGTAACAGGAAGATGTGGCTAACTTGTGTTGCAAACTATGCAGTTTAATTCCTCTTCAAAATTAGCTATTAAATTACAAATTTAAGAATGGATCTAGTCATCTTCTCCATATATCTAATCATCTTCTCCATATATCTGCCATAAGTGCAAGCACAAATATGGGGCGTTTATATTTCAACCATCCCCAAGGATACGATGCTTATTGTAAAAACAGAAGACGAATAGTCATTGCCTGCAAAGAAAAATTTTCAAAAAAAGTTTTGTCTATATTACCTTGCTTTGATTTTTAGAGAGCTGACTGGAATATTTAGAGAGAGASTGGACTATTCTCTAGGTGTCCCTGCTTGAGCTGGAAGGCTCTACTAGATGATCTCTAGAGGTCCCTTCCAACCTTAACCATTCTGTGATTCTGTCATGTATTTGGGCTATTCACAGTCTATGTTTATGGTGATTACCTGCAGGGGATTGTCCCTGTAGAAGATATTGAAGTGCTGTCTTTCTTCCTGTGTTGATCTATTTATGCCTGGTTGTGCCTTTACCATGCATGTGTGTGTGCTTATTTGACATTCACATGCAGCTACTGGGCCTGGAAAGGGGGATTTGGAGCAGATGTTCTCCACTGGACCAGCACCTGTCTCCACCACTGGACCAGGCATCCTCTGGGTCCTGCAGTCCACCAGATGCGTCGATTCTTGGCAACATTGATGAATCTCCTATAAATAAATGCTCTAGCTCTGTTCCTTCTCCTTGTAGAACGATGCCTTATCTRCCCGTATTTTTTTTAACACATTATCAAAAAGAGCTGGTCTCTGCCAAATGAGTTGATTCATTCCCATAGTAAATGTACAAGGGTGGAGTGAAATCTCTTACGTCCTGAGGAGCTTGCTGGAGAAAGACTAAACTGGCCTCACCTAGGTTAGACTCTGTGGAAATTCTTCCATGGCTGAAGAAGACAGGGTAGATTGCAGCTAGAGATTTTTTTAACTGATTTCAGTTATCTCTTTTTGACTTTAGGCTAACATTCAACTGAATCAGTTTTCAAGCTAAACAACAAACAAACAAATAAACAAAAAACTATATTTGTATGGCAGAAGAGAAATGTAGAGGATTCAGGTGTAATTCTGGAATCTTATACCCACATCCATTAGYGCATGTGTTTGCATGGCTTTTAGGAAATGAATATCCAACTGGAAAACGTTATCTCTCAGCATTAGTACTCTGTTAGGGTCAGACTTTTCTGAGCTGTTTTTTCTTAATGTCTCTGCCTCCAACTGCTCTAATTCACTTTTGGAATTATATTCTCACAACCACTGGGTCCAGGATCAAAACTTTCTATGGAAAAAGAAAGCCAGTTTTGTAGGGAGAGTTTTCTGCCATGAGTATAGCTTCATTGTGAGAATGAATTCCCTTTTCCCCTCAAGCGAAAATAGAAATAAAGCAGAAAGAAATCACTTACCAATTTTGTACAGGCTGATGTACTCATCATAGAATCGAATCAAGGAGTCTTTACTAGAACCATTTACTATGAAGTAAGTAATTGTATCATTGCTCATGATCACATTTTGGAAGTGACATCCTATGTGTCTCCCATTTTCATCTTTAATATAAAACTCACATTGCTTTTCCTCTTCTTCTCTGTGGGTAGCAAGGTATTTAAGTTGAATGCAGTCAGTGTCATGTGTTGGATCAGAAGTCAGAACTCTGAAGAGCCAAACAAACCTACTCACCTTGAGTTCTGCCAGTAGAGGAAATACTGGGTATCACCTGGAGCATCTCTGCCCACACACCAGGTGCAGTTCATAAGGGAAACATTGTAAATCACACAGGAGAAATTTGTAATGGCTGTCCCGGGCATTCCTGAAACATAGCAATGTCCCATGTCCTCTTGCTACAAACTGGAAGATCTCTGCATGCACTTTAGATATTTTAGGCACTTGCGACTTCAGATGATTATAATGATTATTACTCGGATATTACTTAATGGTCTAAGCATATTAAGTAGCATAACTGGAAGSTGTTTACAGTGACAGTCTCTATGAAGAATTTCTCATGGCTAAAAGCTACAAGGATAAGGTTATCTGATGGAAGAGGGCTCAGAGGAGCCTGTCCTGYTCTAGTACAGGCTGTACGCTAAACAGGCTACTCCTTTGCCTCAAATTGTTCCAGTTCACAATTAGAGACTGGTACCTCAAATTCATTGACTGTAAGATCTCCAATAATACTTAATTGCTGGGAAAAATATGTGTCAATTATCTATCAAATATGTAGGGGAGTGAGGAGCCTAATTGAGGACTCCAGAGAAGAAGAGAAGCCCAAGTCTCTCTAGTCTTAAGTCTCTCTAGACTTCAAAGAGAAAAGCCTACATAAACAGATATAGATGTATGCTTAGGAAATCTTTGTGGTCTGCAGAGATACCTTCTTCCATGTGGAATTAATTTCAGGAATCATTTTCTGCACACAAGAATTTCAATTTTCACCTTCTCCTCCAAACAAAGACCCAATGAGTTTTTCTAAATATTCTTTTTAAAAGGAAGTATGACTTATCCTTAAATCATCCCTCTTTTCAAAAGGAAATAGCAATTTATTGAGGTTTGACAAAACTAGTATGAATGTAATTTTTATATGCTAACTCAAGCTTATTTAATTGAGCAGATCATGATGCTCTCTCTCTTAGCTCTCTTATATGCATTACCCTTCTGATACAAAAAGAGTTAAATTTTGTCAGACATTTCCTTATTGTGAATGAGATAMTGCAAAAAGTTTGTTATGAGATCATGAGTGATATTCTGGTAAAACTAAATGTATCTCAGATTTCTCAAATAAATTCAAAACCAGTATCCACAAAACAATTTTCCTTGGATTTTTAATAACATTTTAAAGGCACTTAAATGTATTCAGTAAAATATTAGCACAAATATTTAAAAGATGACAATTGAAGAGATAGCAACAAACAAGATGACAACTGAGGACTAAAGAACTACAAAGTTATCATAGGAAACTCCTTTTTTGTGACTAGAAACCTTGTCATAATGCTGTGAACAAGAAGCTTGTTGATCACATACAGAACAATTGAATTAAAGAAAGATGTTTTTTACACTTMAAACAGGCAAATTAGAAACAGGCAAATCCTTTCCCAGGGTTGAGCATATTACCTTGTGGAATAAATGTGCATGTGCTTGTATATGTAGTGTTGATGTTCACTGCTGTAACTGAAAAATTTGCACCATTATGTAGAGGAAAAGATATACTGCTTTCAAACTTACAGGTTGTTGTGTTTTCCACCTGAAAAATGATATGCACATGGTTTATTTTTTAGATTTTCATTGTGTATTGGGCCACCCATAGTGCCCCAGATGAGTTCAAATATCCTGGAGCATGTATTTTCACATGGATGCTGCTGGTTGCAATGTTTATACTCAATACAAAGACAAAGTGAGATGTTGGACAAATGAATGGAATAAGAAGCTAGACTGAGGGTCATGTCCCCTAACATTTGCTTTCTGACAGTTAGCATCTAGTCTGAGCAGATAATATAGCTGTCTTATCAACACAATGGTGACAGAAGACAGGGATATTGGTATATATCTTTTTTCTAGAAACTGTCTACTGAAACATTAAACATAGTGTATGGATTGCTTACTGACATTGTAATTGTAGGGAGAACACCTGGGGAAGACCTGGAAAGAAGTTATTGACTTATAGAGCACATGGTGACAAGCTTAGTGTGTGAAATGACCTGTTGATCAAATTCCCATCAGGGCCAGGCACACATATTTCATTTTGGCAGAAATGTCCAGTTGCTTCCTGGACAGTAGGACACTACTTCCTGGACACTACTCAAGGTTAGCACAGCTGGGATAAGGAAATAGATAGTAGATTTAAGGAGCCCTTAAGATGCCACCTGAGTGTCCAACGCACACATCTGACCTGTACTTCCAGCAGCCTCCCATTGGCAGTTCCCAAGGAATCCCTTGCAGTTCCTGGGGCTCCCCACACAGTCTGTAGTCTAAGTGCTTAAATCTACCCTCTTTAACCCTTTATAAACCTTTAGTGTCTTGCAAATAATGTAACTTGAAATGCTCCATCTCTATTTCTACAAAACAGGCTGCCAAGACCTATACATACTAACACAGTTCCTGTTCTTAAAACAGTTCTATATTTGGGGTTGCCTATCCAATCAGTTGCATGAGAAATATTGGGCAAATGGGCTGATACAACTGCAGCTTTCAGCTCTAGAAGAAGGAATGTAGCTAAAGAATAAGCAACACATATATAGGGGGAAGAATTATTATAGGAGGACAACATCATGACTTGAAGAACCTGTAGAAGGCCACTGCCTTAGAAACTAATCTGTTTAACATAAATAACATACCATAACATAGCTGTTAGCTGTTAACATACCATAAAATAGCTACATAATAGAGGAAGGTCTTACTTGCCATCTTCCCTGTGCAAGCATTTCTAAAAACAAACTAAAGCACAAGCAGAAGTTGCCTTTTCATTAAGTCATGACAGTTCTTAAATCATCCACACACATAAGATCCAAGGTTGAAGGCTTGTGTTTGCTGTTAAGTATCTAGCCAGATAGTTTGCTTTTTAGCTATTTATATAGGTTTCCCATGTTCTCAAGCCATGCTGACCTTCAGACTGACCTCGTAAACCCTCCAAGAACATCTAGCTACAGAGATACCATCCACTCAGGTCCGCATTTCTTTTCAGGACCGACTTGGTTTACCTATACAAAAGTGCCTACTACGTGAAATACCCATGGAAGCCCTGTCTGGTCATAGCAGCTACTCTAGAAAGGATGTTTTCACTGTCTTTTGTGTTACATCAAGCAATCCTGAGCAGGTACATCATTGCATCTTAATGGCCACTGAAGTGTTATCTTGAGGTAAGTCAGTCAGGACACAGTCATATAACTCAAGTCTATCCATTGCACTCAAGAATCATCTTCTGCACTTCATGAGCTGTCTCTCACCTAAGTTCCTCTGAAATATGAATATGGGGCAATCTTAAAGTTCCCACCCATCAAGGCCCTGATTTCATGAGAATGCTCTGAAAGCAAGTATTTCATGAGAATGGCCTGAGAATGGACGAAGAGTCTCAGTACAAAGAGGGACCTCACTAAAAACAAGCATTAAAACACAGAATACTTGCCCCTACCAAGCATACATTTTCAGTTACTTAAGAATATGGAAGAAAAATACAAGAGTAATGATTTATCTCTATTAAAATTTTATATAGCAAACTTACCGTTATCTTTACGTTCCCATCAGAACATGAATATTTAGTGAATTTCATGCTGCTCACCCAGCTCAGTTCCATTTTCCTCTGGTTCAATGTCAGATTTCTAATAGGTGAGTCTGCCATCTCCACTGAAAATATCACAGAAAAGTATTAGTACAAATGCAATTATGATGTTCTCAAATTATCAGGTGCAGAGGCTACCCAGCAGGTCTCAGCCATAAGGAAAGTAGCCCACAGCAACCTCTAAAGAGAAGCACATTACACTCCACCTCTGAGGATGTCATACGGGATTACTGTACTCACAGTTTCTACACCGCCAGCCATCACACCTTGGGGCTAACAGCAGCATCCACCGGATCAAGAAGATGAGCCGAAGACGAGCAACCATATTTTCTTCCTTGGAGACAGAAAGCAGTAAAACTCACCCAAAGTGGATGATCCTAATGATCCCAAAGTGAACCATTTGTGCTCGAATTTGCCTCTGTGACTTGCTCATATTGCCTGCCTCCACATTATCCTTCAGTTCCCATATATCTAGTGAGGCAAGATTCCCTACACTGAAGCCATGCTGACATTTTCCCAGCAGGCTGCATTAATTCACGTCCTTAGGGACCTTGTTGTTTCTTATAGTTTCTGCCACCTTACCAGAAGAGAAATCAGAATCATTGTGGTGATTGAGGCTGTGGTTCTCAAGATCACTTTTAGTRTCATTTCATAAATGGGAGTTACTATGGCACTTGGCCAGCACTCCAGCACCAAAATGAGTGATTTTGTGTCTTGGCCAGCAGTTCTGCAATTGCCCAGTTGAGCTCTTTCAGATCTCTCAGATCTCTCTAGTCTTATTACTTGCATTATTGATGCACTTGGTAAACAGCCTGTATATTTATTTCAAAGTGGTTTAGCTTCCAGCTTGTAAGTTCTCATCCGGCTTCAGCAYGACTGATGCAAAAAGTGCACTGAGAATTTCTGTTGCAACCTCATGGTTCCTGAAGGATCCTTTTATACCTCTGCCACCAAAGCAACCCATTGATTCCTTTGCTCTTTCCTGCTGTTGATATATTTAAAGAACTTCTTAGCAGCTTTAGAATATTTGGGAGTTACTCTTCATTTCCTTTTATTCCTTTTCATTTCCTGTTCACATGCCATGTTTACAAGCATTCTGTTTTTCTTCTTTGAGAAAGATTTGCATCTTTTAAAAGCTATTCTATCTTTCCTATGTTGATCTACCTATCTAAAAGATACACACTAACACACATACTATATACATTTTCTGCAATGTTTTGTTTCTTTTCAAATTAAGTTTCAAAATTACTTTTCAATTGTATTTCCAGTACAATAATTTGGAACAACTTCCATGTCATTCTCAGGCTTCTTTCTGGATTGCTCCTTTTGGGTATCTTTTTGCTTATTTGATTTCTTATTTTTTGCTTAACTGCCTCATMTTCCATTTCAAGAGAGGTTTAAAGCACACACTTTCTTACAGATTGCTCATATCCCCAAGGACTGTACTATCTGTACTATCACGCTTTGGGTCTCCAGATCTCTGCCCAGCTCTCAGATGTTGAGAGAGAGAAGATTAAGCAGATCTCTCATGAAGTAAGAAAAACGTTCAGATAAAACATGCAGAAGTTAAAATAGTTACAGTTTTCTGCCACAAAACAATAAGACTGTTGATCCTGGTGTATGAAATGTTATATATGTTTATTTGATGACTACTAACTTAAGATCTGAAGATTATCTGTGTGCTATAAGGAAAGGTTAAGAGGAATAGACATCAGGCAAATGGGTAACAACTGCAAACAGAAAACGTCAAAAGTTGGTTTTAGTACCAAAACCAGAAAGAAAAACAAGATTGTAACTAGAACATTTTGTAAACAGGGAGTAGATACTTCGTTTGAAAAGACCTTTTCTGTTTAGCTCTGTGTATTCCTTTGCCAGCACTGAGATTTTTTCCTAGGAAGGTTTTCTTCTAACCTTGCGGTTCTGCTATTCATGCTCATATCTTACTGCATGCCTCCAGAATCAAAACAGTCAGACAAGAAACAGATGAACCTACCTTGTTTTTCAAAGCTTCTGTATCTCATTTATCTTTGTACAATAATCTTGAGGCTCAAAGAAGCTAGAAAGATTTGTGTTTGAAATGGTTGTGCAGCTCTAAACAGAGGTGTGTTCCTCACCCCTTGCATTATAGGGAACTGTCGCACCATGGGAAGTGTTGCAAGATGCAGTGCTCATCACTTCCCTCCTTATTTTTACCAAATTAATTTCATTGCACAACTCATGATTTTGCACAACCCATGATTATATGTAACATGAACAAGTCATCTAGTTCCCTTTTCCTTCCTTTTGTATAGGGTTCATTGATGCTTTGGGATTCAYGGAGTACTCAGAATACTTATTCTTTTACAGTCCTTTCTGTCTGGCTCTAAAAAAGTGTTAGTAACATATAGCGTTTTTTGAAATGTGTCCCAGAATGGCAAAGTTAGGGGTTCTCCAGACAGGGCCTGCTGGGTGGGGGCTGCCAGCAGGCCAGGCTGGGTTGGCCACTGTGAGCCCCACAGCGAGGGCTGGGAAGTCCCCACATCCCAGACACAACTAATTTGAAATAATCCCCAAGCGCGTGGGAAAGAGAGGATTTCAAATCTCGGACACAGGGCTTTCAAATAAGTTACATCAAAACTAAAACCCTGGGTTTGTTCTTAGTTCAGTTATTCCAGTGATGAGGTCTCAYTCTCACCCGACCAGTCAACATGTTAAAATTTTTTTGATTGTAAAAGTCTTTTCTTATAAAAATCAAGACAAAACCAGCTCTACTTCTGACTACATACATCATTAAAAGTATAGAGCAAGAAATGAACTGGAATGCAATGTATTAATTGGCACCMCGTGATAATGTGTGCTTATTTCATCACATCTGTCACTTCATATTGATTTAGGAGATGAACAATTCACTTTGAACACCCAGAAAAKGAGGAGATTAAGAAACTCCAATCCATGAATGTATGGTATTGGTCACTTGACCAATGTATGAATCCCTTGAGAATTTACATTCTGCATAAAAATGCATCACGGCTTTTCTGAAACTTARTTGCAAAACAAATAAATTAGTATGAAGGGCAAATAAGAATTGGTGGATATTTTATCAAAAACTAGATATACTTTTGAAGTAGTCACGCAAAAAGCTGTATTTGCTAAGAATCACTGTCTTTGTTACATTAAAGGTGTGAACTGTGACCTGAAAGGTTAGATCTCAGGACTTGGATGAACAYGGTAATTCTGAGGGAAAATGAGGTTATTTTGAGAAAATTCCACTTGAAAGGAATTTCATATTTGCACATATTGGTATTTTGTGAACACTTACTGTAATGGAGAGGTAGATGGAAAGGCCATGAAAAGTAAGACCAAAATATCCTATTGTGTCYTCTTCTTTGGAAGAAAAAAAACAGTTTTGATGAAGTAATAAACTGTGTTTTAGTGATAAATAAGAAGCATAGAAAATGTTTAGGATAATCAAAGGAGGTTCTGAGCAAAAAGGAAGTCTAAGAGAGTTTTGGGGCATTTGTCTTTTTTTTCTCTCTCCTTTCTGCCAACCTTTGACCTCCCTGGGTCTCAATACTCCCTCCTACAGGAGCTTAATTCCCAGAGCCTTGCGCAGTCTCCTATCCACTCTTTCAGCAGACATCTGCAAGCTAGAACCTCTCCTTACCTGCTGCCGTCTCTAATTAGAAGATTGGAGAAGGGAGGGTGATGGGACTTGGACATGAAGCCCAAACAACTGGTGGGATCAGTAACACCAAAGTTGGGCTTGTGGAGTCCTTGGCCACTGAGAGAGTGACTCAGTGAGACAGGGGCAGTGTTTGAGGAGAGCTGTTTCTGAGAGCAGGCGATAGCTCCAACGCCTACAGAAGTGACTTAGTGGTTGAATCAGCTGGAGCACACGGCTTTGTCCACAGATGCAGCAGCTGGATGGCATGGCAATGCCCATAGGTACAACATGTCTGTTTAGTGCTGGGTTATTTCTCCAGCTTATTTCTTCTCAACAGTGAGGCTACCAGTGTGCATTCCTACCAGACACACACACTCAGGCAGAAGAACTTCTGAGGCTGCAGAGCCACTGAAGAGGAATAGCATGTTCTTCTACTTTCTCTGAAATRAAGTTCTTGAAACACAAAGAGGAAGTCTGGGGTTTGGGGGTTTGAGTACTTTTTCCTTTCTAAACTAGAATGTGCTGCAGCAGAACAATCAAACAATCCACAAGGACGGTGAATGGTACAGGATTTTACTGCAAGCAAAGGAGCTTTCCCACTCCCAAGATTTCTTTGTCTTTCCATCTTTATGMAAACACTCCCCTGAGATTTTCAAACACATAAAGAATTAAAAAAAAATCTTCAAGGAAAGCTGATATTCTCCATTGTGTTATCAAAGATTGTTTTCAAAGGAGTGGCTTTTTAGGCCAGGAATCTAGTGCTGAATGGGCTCATTATAACCCAGGAACTTAAAGAGAAACAGATTTATTTTTTCCCAGAAAGAAAAGTCTGATAGAGATACTAATACATTCTTTTTTCAGACTTTTGTCTCTAAAAGGAGCACCTCCACTTGTAGGAACAGAAAAAAGAAATAGGAAGAATAGTTCTTGAAGAGTCTGCACTGCTGAGCATTGTTAGGGTCTTGAGTTGATCCATGAAGTTGTAAACTGTGTAGAGATAACACGCCTTGAGCTTGTATCCCAGTTTTCCCAGAGACAGGATGTCAAGGCCAAGAAGTTGTTAACTGTACAGAGATAAAACACCTGGAGCTGATATTTCAGTCTTTCCAGAGACAGGATGCCAAGTCCAAGAATTCATATACTGCATGGAGATAAACACTTGGAGCTGATATTGCAGTCTTCCAAGAGATAGGATACTGAGGCCAGGAATTTGTAAATTGTACAGCAACAATGTTGAGACAAACACAGTCCACAACAGTCTCTTACAACAAGTTGACTACAAGAGTTACTCGGCTAGATCAGTGATTCATGAATGAACAAATGGGCAGGGACATGACAGCCAGTGTCAACCTTGGCTGCAGAAACCATGGCACGGTCATCTTTAATATACTGAGGGAAAAGAGAAAAGCAAGTACAGTAACATACACCTTGTATGTAATGAGAGCAGACTTCAGCTCATTCTGGCGGGAAAGAACCTGAGGTCCAGAGCTCTGCACATTCCTCAGTCCTTAGTCAGGAGATAGGTAGTGATTCAGATAATCCTATTAGGGACAAGCTGAGTTGAAGTTTCCTGTAAGCAGTGTGGGATATCATTCATTGTGTCTTTTATGCTATGACATGAACTATAGTGCCTTGCTCCTCCTTTGCTACTCCAAATAATCCCTCCAAACAGCTCACGACATCTTCTATCTTTGTCCCTGGTACAAAATTCCTGGTATGTTCACAGAATCACGGAATCACAGAATCATTAAGGTTGGAAGGGACCTCTAGATATCGTCTAGTCCAATCCCCCTGCTCCAGCAGGGACACCYAGAGCATGTGGCACAGGGTGGCATCCAGGCAGGTTTGGAAGATCTCCAGAGAAGGAGACTCCACCTTTTTCGTTAGGCAACTTTCCCTGGTGTGCGCATGTGTGCCCACCAATGGGGGTGCCTGGTCTTGTTATGAGGGTCCTGCCTTCATTATCTTCCTCTCCCTCACCTCACCAGGTTTGACCTCCAAACTAGCTTAGAGGTCAGTTGTGTTTCAGTTGRCGCCATACCTTCTGGCACGGCCACTTGTAAATTCTTCACTTGCTCCTCATCACCAGATAAGGTCCCTGATTTTGCAGCTGTATAGCTGCCTTCAAACGCCCTACAATCAGATAATGGCTTACTTCTTGGCTTCACAACAGTCTCAAGGCCTCTACAGATCATAAACAGGTTATGAATCTTTGCTCCTCTTATACAGGCACCCTCATAGGAAAGAAGTTCTTCCTCACATGGAGATGGAACTCCCTATGTTTCAGCTTGTATTCATTATCCCTTGTTATATCAATGGCCACCACTGAAAAGAGCTTGGCCCCTTCTTACCTACATTTACCCTTCAGGTATTTATACATATTGTTCAGATCTCCTCTCATTCTTCTCTTCTCCAGGCTAAACAGGCCCCGCTCACTTAGTCTTTCCTCATGAGAGAGATGCTCCAGTTCCTTAATCATCTTGGTTGCCCTCTGCTGGACCCTCTCCAGAAGCTCCACATCCCTCTTGTCCTGGGGAGTCAAGAACTCCCTATACTCCATGTGTGGCCTCCTCGGAGCTGAGGAGAGGGGCAGGATCACCTCCTTTGACCTGCTGGCAACACTCCTCCTGATGCASGCCAGGATCCCATTGGCCTTTTGGCCATGAGGGCACACTGCTGACTCATGGTTAACTTAGTGTCAACCAGGACTCCCAGGTCCCTCTCCGTGGAGCTGCTTTTCTAGTAGGTCAACCCCTAATCTGTACTGGTGCCTGGGGTTATTCCTCCCCAGGTGCAGGACTCTGCACTTGTCCTTGYTGAACCTCATGAGGTTCCTCTCTGCCCAACTCTCCAGCSTGTCCAGGTCCCTCTGAATGGCAGCACAGCCCTCTGGAGTGTTGGCCACTCCACTCATCTTGGTGTTGCCGCAAACTTACTCAGGGTGCACTCTTTGTCCTCATCCAAGTCACCGATGAACAAGTTGAACAGCACTGGGCCCTGTACTGGGCCCCTGTGGGACACCACTGGCCACAGACCTCCAACGGCACTCAGCCCCGTTTATCACCACCCTCWGMGCTCTGCCATCCAGACAGTTCTCAATCCAAGTTTTTGTCCACCTATCCGGTCCACACTTCCAGAGCTTTCCTATGAGGATGTTATGGGAGACAGTGTTGAAAGCCTTGCTGAAGTCAAGGTAAACAACATCCACAGCTCTCYCCTCGTCCAGATGGCCGGTCAAATCATCATAGAAGGCTATTAGGTTCRTCAGACAGGACTTCCTCTTGGTGAATCCATCCTGACTACTCCTGATCACCTCCTTCTCCTTCACATTTCTAGSATGAGCTGCTCCATCCTTACCAGGGACAGACCAGCCTGTACTTGCCCGGCTCCTCCCTCTTGCCCTTTTTGAAGACTGCTGTGATGTTGGCTCTCTTCAGGCACCTCTCCTGCTCTGCAGGACCTCTCCAAGATAGCAGCTGAGCAATAACCCTCTCCAGTTCCTTCAGCACTCTTGGGTGCATCCCATCTGGACCCATAGATTTATGGGTGGCCAGTTTTCCTAAGTAATCCCTAACCCAATTCTGCTCAGCCTGTGGAAGGTCTTCCTCTTGCCCATTTATCTGTCTTTTACCTGGGCTCTGCAGTTCTTGAGGAACAGTCTTAGCAGGAAAGACAGAAGCAAACAAGGCATTTAGTAACTCTGCCTTCTCGGCATCCTAACGTATTTATAGAAGCCCTTCCTGTTGCCTCTGACATCCTTTGCTAACTCTAATTCCAGATGGGTCTTGGCCTTCCTTGTTGCATATCTGCATTTTCTGACAATGCACCTATATTCTTCCCATGTGGCCTGGCCCTTCTTCCACATCCTGTATGCTCTTTTTTTCTCCTTAAGTTTGCCTAGCAGCTCCTTGCTCATCCATGCAGGTCTCCTGCCCCCCTTACTCAACTTCTTTCTTGTACGAATGCACCAATCCTGAGCTAAGAGAAAGTAGTGCTTGAATAATAGCTGACTCTCCTGGGCGCTCTTTCCTTCCAGGACCCTGACCATGGGGATTCCTGCAAGGAGCTCCCTGAAGAGGTCAAAGTTGACTCTCTTGAAGTCCAGGGCTGCAATCCTACTTCTTGACCAGCATCCTCCATGCATTATTGTCAATTCCAATATCTCCTGGTCACTATAGCCAAGACTGCCCCCAACCCTCACATTACCCACTTGAGCATCTCTGTTAGTATCAGGTCTAACAGTGCCCCTTCCCTTGTTTGCTCATCAACCACCTGCATCAAGAAGTTATCATCTACAATGTTCTGCAGGAATCTCCTGGACTGTCTGTTCCTGGCTGTGTGATTATCCGAGCAGATATTACAGTAGTTGAAGTCCCTCATAAGGACCACGGCCTGTGATTGGGACGCTTTCAGTAGCTGCCTGTAGAAGGCTTCATCCACTTCCTCTTCCTGGTCAGGAGGCCTGTAGTAAACTTGCACAACATTGTCATCCTTGTTGGCCTGCCCTTTAATCCTCACCCACAGGCCCTCGACCCACACTTCATCCTCCCCAACGCTGAGCTGCATACCTAGCAGTTGCTCTCTGATGTAAAGAGCAACTCTGCCACCTCGCCTTCCTGGCCTGTCCTTCCTGAAGTATGTTCCCACATACTTCATAGATTCAGGTCTCTTGCACTCATAAGCAAATCTCCCACTGCTGCCGCTTGCATCCTCCTGACCTTACAGATCATTTCTGCTGCAGGAGCTCCCTTGGTGTGAGAAGATTGTGCATTGTCATCTGGACCTCAGCTAAGAGATGGCTTAAGGCAGATCTTCCTCCTGCCAGCTCTCTGCGTTGGACAGAAGTGAAACTCCTGTAGGAAGTTCTGCTTTGCTGGAGACAACCAACCCCAGTTTCTTTATTAAAAGAGGAACACAGAGGTGTTACCTAGTACAATCGTTTCTTAGCTTCAGCATTACCTCTTTTGATTTGCAGGAACTCAATTTACCTAAATGTGCAAATCACTCAAGACATTCCATTATGCAAGAGTCTGTCCTATGGTTTCACTGGCAGAAATGCAGACACAAAGATAGGGCCAATTTCAAAAAAAGCAATTTCTTAGCTTCTCAAATGTCTCAGATAAAGCTTTGAAAAAAAAGTTATTCAGGATAAAATAGTCTAGTAGGCATAGCATAGATATTGCCTCCGTTTTCTAAATCCAAAGAGTCCATATGGAGTCCATATGCACATGTGATCAGCAGAAGCACATGTCATCAGCCTGCTAATTCTTGGTCTTTTCTCATATMTTCTTACTAATTGGAGGATTCAGGATGAGCCTCTTCTGTTCAATGAGGTGTTATCAAAATATACAGCCACCCCAACCACCCCATAGTTTTTGCAGCTAGCAAGTGGCAAACTTCTGCTTGAGAGCAAAAATTTCAGTMACTGGTATTCAGCAGCCCCTGAACACTCCAAACATACAACTATATTCTGCCTGTTAGCATTCATAATTTAATCTACTTTTTAATCTCCAGTAAATATGAAGTGAGAAGAATTTTGAGAAAATTTTTGATTTTGTAAATATCCGGGAGCAAGGTCTTTGAAGTGCTGTGCAGAAGGATTTAGCAACATAGTCTGGAGGTAGCAAATGAACTTACAAGGAATTGATCTCCTGACTCATTTGACAGTATTTCTTTTGTATGTGCAAATGATCATTTTAAAGAAGCTTAATCATGGCCAGTTTTCCCTGGATTTTCATATGGATGAGATATTTTATTCCTGATCACAATCCTGTGATTATGTAGCTGGGTATTAGCTGTACCTTTTCCCAGGCAATGGACCACTGGAGATTTTGATTGAGTACATTAAATTCAGTTGTTTTTATTTTACTCTTTTACATGGGGTACAAACGCAGTGCGCATTTGTCCAGCAACAACTTCCAAACACTACTGAAATATTTTTCTGAAGCATTGCAAGAATACTCATCATAGTAAATTATAGCTCACATTATTCATGGGAAATTGAAGCAAATGAGAATAAATTTTTAAAGATAAATTCTTGGGAACCTGTCTCTACTAGTATCATTCCTATCTCTCCCACAAGAAAGAGAAAGCAGATATATAGTGTGCAGAAAAATTCAAATTGCTCATTTCACTTGCCATTGCCATTATGCCATTTCATCAACTGTTGTTATTATTTCTTCAGGTTCTTGCTTTATTAATTGATTCTCATAGTCTGTCTAAAAAGGAAGAATAAAACATTTCATTAGTTTAATGCATGAGATTAGCCACTAGTTACAATTTATGACCTACCTGTTTTTCAGACAACGGCTATTTACCTTATAAAAGATGCTGAGAGACTCTGTCAGTGATATCACTGAACTAGATCTGTCTAGGTCTTTCTTTAATGGTGAGCTCCCCAGAGGACTAAAATACTTTTCTACTACAAAGACAGAAAATTCACCTTTCTATACACGGAGAAGTCAACATTTCTAAGGAATAGAAAAGGATTAATTTCTCCAGTGTTCAGTTCACCATATCCTTGCAGGCATGTTCTTGTTTTCGAACATGGATGTCACCAACTCAAAGACTTTCTGTATTGCAGGAATCATTGTCCTCCACGCCCTCCAGACAGTTTCCACTGTTACCTGCGACTATCTTTCTCTTCCTTGTTTTTCTCATGAAGAACATCTACTTGAAGCTCTCTACCTAAACTAGAATCTCCCAGTTCTTTGCTSTGACTCTCTTGCTTACTACATCCTAAGTGCTATACCATTTTCAACATCTACGATGACACAAGTATTTTGGTTAGCAGTGGATTTTTTTGCTTCTGCCCCTTCTTTCCCTGAAGGCTGACCAACAGCCTTAATTTACTTTATCGTTGTGCTGAGAACAGAGCATTGTTCTAGTGATGACATAGTTCTAGTGGGGACAACAGGGTAAAATGATGTATTTCCTCAGGTAAATGTACCTCTAATGCTTCATAATGTAAAAAGGTAAACGAAAGAATTATTTGCGTGTGGACTTCCTCTTTCAATGCCCCATTTACAAGAAAAAAAGAAAATTACTCCTTGCTTCTGAGCATCTGTCTGGCACTCAGGTCATATTTTTCAACCTGAAGCAGATACTCATTTATTTTAAAAAATCCTGCAAGTGGAAAGGAAACATACCTGAAAATTCATAGAAGAGATATCATGGAATGGGTCTTTTGGCTGTGGTACCGGAGCAGACTTCTTTTTTAGAAAATAGGTGCTACAGCAACAGAAAGGGGTGGTAAAGAAAAAACTGAGTATGCAGACATATCAACACTGATTCTTGAGGTTATTTTCTTCCCCAAGTCTGAAGTAATGAAATAATAACTAAGAATTTTATAGGTGAGCATAATGGTATCAATTTATTGTTCAGAATTTGGTCCATAACTTCTCTTATGAACTGTTAATGTAGCATAGTAAAACACTTTCTTTCTCTCTCCAAATGCGRAATATCCACAAAACAAAGAACCATTTTCATGCACATGTAAATTTCATTTATATGCAAATTTCATTTACATTACAGTGTGTTAAGGTCGGAAAGAGGCATGAGTATAATAAGGTCTTCTCCCACTATTGGAAGGAGTTGTGTTACACTGAAAATTAGAACTACAGAGTCCAGGTGAAGAACATCCAGTAGGTCATGACTCCGTGCTCAATATCAAGTTTTCATCTCTTTTTTCCTTTTAATAGATAACAGAGCTTTTCTTGGTGGGGGGGAAGACATTTATTTATTTATGTGTGTATCTATTTATTCATTTACATATRTAATTCAGGGACAGAATAATTTTTTTCCAGAAGAAATAAGACTTACGCTAGGCAGAGAAAAAGCATGAGACTTGCTGTTATCATTGACAGCAGAAATACAGTATATCCTGAAGTAGACATAAGCTGTTCTCTTCCTGAAAAACAAGTCATTAACAAAGTGCTCATTATTATCACAGGACACAAGTGACCAAACAGCTGTGTGTAACATCTGCTTTAATAAATGATAGYGTCAGACACTAATAATAAGGGGCTTCTTTAGATTTGCTTCCCATTCTCATGTAAAATGTGAAAGGAACAGGATGGATGGCAATTCTTGGATTGTCTCCAGTAACTTTATACATTGCAAAGCATTTTGCAAGGAACTGAGGCCTTTATAACACTTCAAAACCCAAGGTTGCAGATCATAACAGTGGAAAACAAGAGTTTATAAAGACAGATGTAGAAATAGGTGAAGAAAAAGAGCTGCCAGCAGAGACCTAAAGAAGATCTGTTTTATTCACCAGCTATCTCCTTGTAAATAGCACCTGCAGTCATACAAGAGACTGGGAGGCTTCCTAAGCAGGGGAATAGCAAATTATTTGCTAATTTTTATCCTGGCACATGGGAGTATCACTTAAATGTGTGATCTGTAAGTATGAAATAATAAATGAGTCAGACAAATAAAAATTGTGAGAAAACTAGGCCAAGAAAATGATTTTCATTCTTACCAAACTCAATGGGCGTACTCCATTCCCCCCAGTTTGTGCTCACTAAACAGCCACTGTCAGTTGCTCTGATTTTGACCTGGTACCTTTTTTCCGCATTGTAGTTTGGGAATCTGTAGGATCTTTGTGTCGTGGTGGTCTGCAAGTTTTGTGGCATACATAGGAGAAACATAAAAGTTCTACCTGTGTAGATATTCTTTGTACCATGTTTTATAAAACATGCTTTTATTAACAGATTAAAATATTTTTGTGCTTAGGAAACTTTAGATAGAAAGCATATATGGAACTGGTAGATTGAAACCTAAACAATTTTGTTTGAAGAGGTTTGTATATAGGTGATCTTTCAATCCAACATAAACATTAGATTAACATGCTATTGAAGACTTACAGGTTTGGATGGGTCTTTGATGTTTTTCTCAGGATCAGCCTAGCAACAAAAGAAAATTTTAATTTTTGTGATTATCCTTTTTGTTACTATGTAATAAGAGTTRCTATTTTCTGAGTGATTTTCAGAAAATAATGTGCACTTTGCTGAAACATCTTTTTAAGACTATAAAGTAAACTATTCTTTCATGGAGGGGTTTTTGCTCAGCACTGATTCTMTGAAATAATGTATTCTTTGAATTTGGTAAAGCTGAGAATGAAAAACTAAACAAACAGAAAAGGCTCAGATTGCCTAGAAATGAAAATCGCTTGTTTTTTTTCCGTGCAAAACAAATAATGAAAAAAATCTAGTAAATGGAGATGACCATTGTCCATGAAAACTTCTGTTTGTGTAGCTTTTTCTTTCTGAGGTGTATAATACTACTGCCCATATTCTTCCATCTCTTTAAAATATCTTTAATTACAGAATTGTATCAAGCAACCATGCTTTAAGGCTTGAAAAAAATGATTATTCTGCTTCAATAATCTGACAGAATATGTATTTTTATTTAAAAATATGGATCCACTTTATAAAAATTTAAAAAATGGACACAGCTTTTTTTAAAAAACAGCAAATAGATGTGCTACTGCCCTTTACATTTTCTTATCAGGGAGCACTGAAGTTTTCCATGCAATCATAAAATCATAGAATCATTATGGATGGAAAAGACCTTCAAGATCAGCAAGTCCAGCTGTAAACTCTTCAATATCATACCTGTTAAACTGTGTCCATAAGTGCCTCATCTACACGTTTCTTGAACACTGCCAGGCAGGGTAACTCTGCCACTTCCTTGGGCAACCTGTTCCAATGCTTCATCACTCTTTCCACGTAGATTTTTTTCCTAATATCTAACCTGAACCTCTCCTGGCACAACTAGAAGCCATTTATTTGCTCTTGTCTTATTTTTGGTAGGTATTTTGGAGAGAATATCGACCTCTGCCTCATTACAGSCTCCTTTCAGGCGACTGTAGAGAGCAGTAAGATCTCCCCGGAGCCTCCTCTTCTCCAAACTAAATAACCCCGGCTCCCTCTGCTCCTCCTCAACTCCAGCCCCTTCCCCTGMTTTGTTGCTTTTCTTTGAACACACTCCAGTGTCTCAATGTTGATATAATTACTAAGACTTGCTAAAATAGCTGCTATGCAAATTCAGGGCACTCATATCTGTATGTAAAGTGCAGACACACTTTAGATATATTTAAGAATTTAATCAAATACAAATGCTGAGACAATGAAACAGTTAACTGAATCTGAGAGGATGCTTGCTTATGAAGAAGCAGCACACAAAAGGATCATGCTTTCAAATAACAGTAAATCAGGAAGCACAAAAAAAGCAGTATTTGAAATATACTGGCAGTATAGCCATTTAAATGATTCCTTTAGCATTGTCTGTTTAATCCATGTGCTTTCCTACTTTCCATTGATCAATTTCCTTCCTTTAGTGCTCTATAAATGAATTTAATGTCGTACAGCCCTCATCTTTAAGCCAGCAGGACTGTTGCTCAAGCGCAACATCTAGATAAGATATCTACATTTAAAGTTAACCGTGTAGGCAACTTTGAACACTTGCACTGATRCAAGCATCCTAGTTATACTCTGAATTCACTGCCTATTTCACTTTACTGTGTAGTTTTGCCCTTCAATAGAATTACATCCATTGCCAGTCTCTCAGTCAGCCTCCACACAAAGCAATGTCCTGTGTCTAATTTTAGTATTGGAGGGAAAAATTGGGGTGAGGGAGGGAATCCTACCCAGTGTAGTGCCCAGATATAACATGTTCATATCTTGACTTACCCACTCTTTGCTTATTCTTTGACAGTTCTAGTTACTAAGCACCACTTTTGCATTAACTTCTTGTATCAGAAGTATAAATTGAGGGGCAAGGGCAATGCTGGATACACAAACACCAGATATCTAAAAGTTCTTGAGGAAAATTCTAACTTAAAGATGCTTTTTATAGAATCAGTGGAAACACTGCTGTTTGCACACTATCACAAATAGGCCTCACAAAATATGTGCACAAATAAATTACCTAGCAAGGAATGAGAAAAAAAGCTTTGGAACTCATTCTGCAATACCGTAAACATGACTGAGCAGTACTGACAATTAAAACAAGTATGGATAAAAGCAAAATTACAAGAGACGTGATRAACCTTCTGACTGGATAGAATTAGTTCGGCATAACACCTAAGAGCTCATAAAATGCAACAGATGGACTATGAGAGTTCAGAGAGGAAACCTATAGGAAAGAATATCCTGACCTAACTTCATCAAGAACAGTACCATGAATGAGTGTTAGAGTCCAATATTCTTGGACTAGATTCTTTTAGATATTCCACGCTAGAAAGTATAAGGTTTAATATGAAAGTTTGCTTTGAAGACATTTGATGTTGCACAGGAATTTTGATTTAGCTAGYCTTTATCATAGGCCAACCTCTACTTGCAGCTTATTAAAATAAATCATAACTCCCTGGCCATATCCTAGCCACTCATGGAACTATATATATTCAGCCTCAGAATTTTGTAATACACTTTTTTTTTTCTATCTAAATGATCAGCCAGCTGATTCCACATTGCCTAAAGGTTTATGGTGGGCAGATACATGTTCTATGGAGCTATATCATGAATCTTTTCTGAGTGCGTTTTTCCTCATATATCTCTACCATTTACATGCCAGTTGTTTTTCACCCGTACAGCACATGAGTCCACACAGAGGCAAGGGAGTTGCTCCAGGGCTATTTCCAGAAGGGTATGAGGAGGACTGCCAGATGCTGCCAGTAGCACTTTCTCGAAGGATGTACAGCTCCTTTGCAGCTCATCCAAAGGTAATAGCCTCTTTAGCCTATTTTTATTTTTTATTTTTTATTCTTTTTTTMTTTTTTTATTTTTATTCTTTTACCCTATTTTTTAGCAAATTTTACTSTATCCTATTTTTTACWTTTTTTTTTTTACTTTGCATGTCTTGTTGTCATAATCCCCATTGATTATGACAAATATCACCTTATCACCTATGCCTATAGGCAGCATAAATGGGTGTGTAGGTTCCATATCATGTTTTTCTTCAGCAAATCATACAGAGGTGTCACCAGAATACTGAATCCAGGAATGTGTGATTTGGAAAGCTGAAAGTTCCTAATAAATCCCTCTTTTCTAAAAGGTGTTAGAATATTTTCTATCTCTTTTAATATAGGTTCTGATATAGATTTCTGTCCTCCTATCCATTAAGTACCTAAAAGTATAACCTCTTGACTTGGTCCATGCCCTTCAGTGTTGACTATGCTAGTATTTAACTCTTGTAAATGCTAGACAATAGTGACCATACTCCGGCAAAACATTTCTTCATCTGATCCTCCAATCAGAATATCATATATTTATATAAAATCATTACTTTAGAAAGGAGAATGAATGGTTTTTTTTTTTTTTTTTAGTTAAAATAGCATAGACAATGCTCTGTAGAGATACATATAAAACTTTGAGGCGGGCAGCAAGCAACACCATCCTGGGTGGAGTGGCCAACACTCCGGAGGGCTGTGCTGCCATYMAGAGGGACCTGGACAGGCTGGAGAGTTGGGCAGAGAGGAACCTCATGAGGTTCAACAAGGACAAGTGCAGGGTCCTGCACCTGGGGAGGAATAACCCCAGGCACCAGTACAGATTAGGGATTGACCTACTAGAAAAGCAGCTCCACGGAGAGGGACCTGGGAGTCCTGGTTGACACTAAGTTAACCATGAGTCAGCAGTGTGCCCTCATGGCCAAAAGGCCAATGGGATCCTGGCSTGCATCAGGAGGAGTGTTGCCAGCAGGTCAAAGGAGGTGATCCTGCCCCTCTCCTCAGCTCCGAGGAGGCCACACMTGGAGTATRGGGAGTTCTTGACTCCCCAGGACAAGAGGGATGTGGAGCTTCTGGAAAGGGTCCAGCTGAGGGCAACCAAGATGATTAAGGAACTGGAGCATCTCTCTCATGAGGAAAGTCTAAGAAGTGAGCKGGGCCTGTTTAGCCTGGAGAAGAATGAGAGGGGGTCTTATCAATATGTATAAATACCTGAGGGGTGAATGTAGAGAGGATGGGGCCAAACTCTTCTTGGTGGTGACCACTGATAGGACAAGGGGCAATGGGTAGAAGTAAGTTCTATCTCCATATGAGGAAGAACATCTTTCCTGTGAGGATGACAGAGCCCTGGCACAGGCTGCCCAGGGAGGTTGTGCGGTCTCCTTCTCTGGAGGTCTTCAAAACCTGCCTGGATGCCACCCTGTGCCCCGTGCTCTGGGTGTCCCTGCTGGAGCAGGAAGGTTGGACTAGATGGTCTCTAGGAGAGTCTTCCAACCTTAACCATTCCGTGATTCTGTGATTAAAGGCACGTAGTATGCTATCCCAAGTAAAAGCAAATTTTGAGCTGCCGTGCTCTCGTATTGGGATCACAAAGAACATTCTCACTCATGAAAAAGCTCATTAATTAATTGTATTAACTATATGTACTATGCTAGAAACAGCATCTGTTAGACAGTCAGCTGCTTTATTTAAAGCCATATATATATATATGTATGTATGTATACTTTAGCATGGCTGTTATATGGTGAGTTTTTTTGCTTTTGTTTTCTATAACACTCTTAATCATTTGCTCTAATCATTTTACTGTCACAGGTTAGCAGGTATGACAGGAGAGGGTGGTCCATAGTGAGGAATGTTAACTATTTTGCTTAGGCAGGAGTCGGGCTATTTGTACAAGATTCATAGGCTTAATTGTATGGAGATCAGTTTTGTAATGGAGGACTATTAATTTCCCATTTATCCCAGCTATCTATCCTAGAATTTCCTTTCAGAATATCCATTCCCAGAATATTAATTTTGTCCACCAACCACAAGTGTCTTATGGCACAATCCACTGGAAAATATTAATTTAGCCTTTAGTATGTCTTGATTTGAACAGGGGGCGAGAAGTGTTGTTGCCCTTTTTAACTGTTTGCATGGTCCTAATCCTTATCTTAGAGCCTGATGTCTCATATAATGATAAAGCTAGCAGACTCGTTTGCAAAACTGTTTGTCATGAGTATCTGCATTTATTCCTTTCGTTGTGACAAATGCAAGCATTTTTAGTGCTGTTGTTGTTCTTTTAACTACAGGACATGAACTGCCCTGAGTGGCATAGGATTGCCAAAGGTTAATATTTGGGGGTTGTCCGTTCTGATCTACAGGTTCTAGTCTATCCAGAATGTGTGAAATGGCAGATCAATGTTCTCTACAACTACCTGAAAGGAGGTTGTAGTGAGGAGAGGATCAGTCTCTTCTCCAAAATAAATACTGATAGAATAAGAGGAAATGGTCTCAAGTTGTGCCAAGGGTGGTTCAAGTTATCCATTAGGAAGAATTTCTACACGGATCACCAGGTGATATAATTGATCTGCTTATTTGTGTTAGCTCTTCACTTTCTGCATGAGGAATCCTTTGCCCTACTTCTTTAAAGACCAGCATTCCCTCTAAAAGTATTCCCTCAGCTGACTGATCCTATCTGTCTAGCATCAGTCATTAACTCATGTGCAAAAAGGCTACTATAGACAAAAAAGAAGAGGTTGCTTAAGAAGAGTAAGAGAGAACAGGATATTGGCTGTATGGCAAGTATGTGTGTAGAAATGCAATCATATAGAAAAATATTAAGTCATAGAAGAATTTTTTCTTACCGTGTTTTCTATGTCGATTTCATATTTGAAGCAACCATCCCTTTCAACATGACTTGTGCGAGGTGGTTGCCACTGAATTTCACAACCATATGAAACTCCAGTACAGTTCACAGTGATATTTGAAGGAGGGGTGAGCTTTTCTGCAAAAACATAATCAAGTACACAAACAAATAAAATCACTACACTTTGGTTTGATAAAATACAGATGGATGTTCAAGCAACTGTTCTATAAAAAAGGTGCGTTGCACCTTTACCAGAATTATCAGATTTACCTATATTTTGATACATACGGAACTTCCTGATTTAATACTCTGATGAGGAGTCTGGAGAATCTGAAGCAAGACTGGGTAAAAAAATGATATCTACTTTTAATATTTATTGAATTTTACAATGCAATACGTGTGGAGGTTGTTGATACTATGTTTATATTAAATGGAATCAATTTATTTCTATTCTTCTTGGTGTTTTAGTAGCAACATGCTTTAATTGCAAATTTTGGGGTATTTTGCTTACACTTTTAAGGCATTTGGTACTTAGWCTGTGCAGGAATTAGGAGATAAGATAGTACCTCTGAGGCATCCTTAGTTAATTAATCCCCAAAGTTGACATCTTGTTTTCAGAGAACATGTTTACTGAAATATTCACAATCTATGATTTCACGTTGTCTCTGCATTCATTGTATTCTTGTAATTTTGACTTTTCAGACATCAAGGCTGGGGAAATATATAAAAAAAATGTTGCAAATGTATGCTATTTTTCTAGGGCTGAATATGCATTCCCTTAGTATGAGCCAGAAATTGAGTTTGAAAACAAAACAAACAAACAAGCAAATAAAATCCTTAAAAACCTTACCAATTGTGTACAAAGGAATGCTAGTCTTATAGGACTGAATGGTTTGTCCACTTCTAGATGCATTTACCAGGAAATCAGCTCTGTTATTTTTAATTGTCACATTTTGGAACCTACATCCCGTATGCCTTCTCCAATTATCTTTGATGTAATTCTGGCATTCCATGAAATCTTCTATCCTTTAAATAACAAACATTCAGTTAAATATGGGCAATGTGACATGTCAGATCAGAATTCAGAATTTCATGCAGTCAAGTAGATCTGCTTACCTTGAATACTTCCAGTACAGAAAATATTGGGTATCTCCCTGAGCTGTCCTGTCTACATGCCAAGTGCAGTTCATGAAGGAAACATTATAAATCACACACACAAAATTTTCAATAGCTGTCCCATTCATGGCTGTAATGAGAGAATGTCACAAGTTAATTCTGAAAAACTTTGCAACAACTTAGAGTCGCAAGATCACCAGACACATATTTAACCGTTTTAGGCATGTGATTAGCAAATCCAACTGCATATTGCTCTGGTCTAGCAATTAAATAATTACTTCAAGGATGTAATATTTTAATGTAATATTTTATTCTGTGTTCAATTGGGAGAAATATCTGCTACTGTTTCATATTCTGAAGATAGATCTAGGATTTAATCAGTTAGACTAAGGCTGAGGCACAAGGATAGAGTGGAGACTAATAAGAAAGATGTCATCTTTTGTCCTTTATCTGGTTCCTCACTTTATTTAAGACCATATCTACACAGAAATATAAGTTCCACTCCCATAAGTAAGGCAAGGTCTATCTCCTATGTTTGAGATTAAGTGTTCTGACCTTTGATTGATATATAAAGAGAGAGGGACCTGGGAGTCCTGACTGAAGACAAGTTAACCATGAGCCAGCAGTGTGCCCTTGTGGCCAAGAAGGCMAAKGGGATCCTGGCTGCATCAGGAGAATGTTGCCAGCAGGTCAAGGGAGGTGATTCTGCCCCTCTACTCAGCTCCGGGGAGGCCGCACCTGGAGTACTGTGKGCAGTTCTGGGCTCCTCAGAGGGTAAGAGGGACATGGAGCTTCTAGAGATTGTCCAGCGGAGAGCTACAAAGATGATTAAGAAAATGGAGCATCTCGCRTATGAGGAAAGACTAAGCAAGCTGGGCCTGCTTAGCCTGGAGAAGAGAAGGTTGAGAGGGGATCTGATCAGTATGTATAAATACCTGAAGGGTGAATGTAGGGAGGAAGGGTCCAAACTCCTCCCAGTGGTAACCAGTGACAGGACAAGGGGTGGTGGGTGTAAGATGCAACACAGGAAGTTCCATCTGCATGTGAGGAAGAGCTTCTTTCCTGTGAGGGTGACAGAGCCCTGGAACAGGCTGCCCAGGGAGATTGTGGAGTCTCTTTCCTTGGAGATCTTTCAAACCCACCTGGATGTGACSCTATGCTGTATGCTCTAGGCGACCCTGCGTGTGCAGGAGTGTTGCACTAGATGATCTTTAGACGTCCCTTCCAGCCTTAAGGTTCTATGATTCTACTTTGCTSGTTACCTCCAGGAAGTTACTTTTGGCTTTTGGAAGGCTTTGGAGACTGTTCTGAGGAGTAGTCGTTGAGTGTGTTGAAAGTATAGCTACAGAAGAAAGATGCTTAGGATTTAAGTTTCCAGATATAAAGGCTTTGATAGAAAATCAAACCCCATCTCTCAGAATATCTCATGGAAATCACTATTTTCATATTTCTCACAGTGGGAGAAGCAGCATTGAGGAATTGTAACAGGGACATGATCTTCCAAATGAGTCTAAGAGTAGCAACCATCTGCTTTTTATGCTTTTGAAAATAAAAGAGAATTATTTAAGAGACTATAAAGATGCCAGGGTACTCTTGGATGTCTGGAAAACTTACTCTCTTCCAAGATGAAATCAAAGCTAATTTCAAGAGTTTGATTTAGCAGCAATTCTTTGGACAGCAGTCCTAGCTCTCTATATCTCCTTCCTGACTGCATCCTGCCTCCCTGGCTGTGCTAGTACCMTTCTTTGCGAAATCTCATAGAGAATTGGACCGAAGAAGTGATCATTCCTAACTACTCAGCAGTTTTTATTTTGTGCGTTTTTTTTTTTAATATAAGAGCTTATCACCCCTTACAACAACCAGCCATGAAAGCTCATCTGAGATGAGCTTCTACGAAGAAGAGCAAGAAATGATTTCTGTTTGTTAGGTCATTAGAAGTATCTAAGTACTCAGTAGGTAGCCATCGACAAAGRTTCAGTGACTCTGAGGAGAATGCTATGAAGGGCTATATCTGTTGTGCCACAGATTCAGTTTATGATGCAGGGTCCATCAAAACTCTACATTTCCACATTTACAAAAGAGAAATCCAACCAAAATGAGGAAATTGCTAGTTGATGGCATCAAAAAGTCTGAAGTAGGATCATATAAGCTGTACAAGGGTTTTACGGGGATGGGTTTTCTAAAACCCTTGAAGATCCTGCAAATCAAAAGAAAAAAAGAGAAAGGGTWATTCTGATTTCAAATCAGCTCACACCCTAATTTATGTTTGACCCAATAAGTCAAGTTGGCTGGGGAAATAGGAAACAGGATGAAAGAAACTCAAAAAAAAAATGGCTTTGAGGTCAAGGAAAATGCAAATGAAATCATCTCCTTGGCATCTTTAGTGATGGCCTAAGTTTCTTACAGCAGTGTCTGAAGGCACTGTATGGACATATACTGAAATGATCTTGAAAAATACTACCACGAATATTGCAACCAAAGCTTTGCTCTGCTGACAAAACAGCCAGCTATTGGCTTCAGAGTGTCACTTTCATATCAACATCAAATGAATGCTGTGTGATCCACAGTATCTTCTTTGTAGATATGATTGTCTTTCCAGGTTTTGAGGGGACCTATTTTTAATTTCTTTTTTATTTGTCTAAATTTGGGAGAGATAAAAAAGGTGAATAAAGATTTTTGAAGGCATTCCTCAGTGAAAAAAAATCTAGCAAAGTAGGTAAATAGGGCTTCTGTGTCTTCAAGGAGGTATCTATTATCAAACCTATTGTATTTGCCTACTTATTATATAATTTTACTTTAATATTTAATATCATTTTGAACTGAGAAAAGTTTTCATGAGAAGCTGCTCCCATAATCTCTCATTAATTCAATGAAAGACTTTTTTTTTCTTCTAGTTTATGCTTAAGCACTAGCTCTTTTTTTCTAGTGACTTCTTACCCCTATTTTTTTAGTTTGTTTTAGCAACTCATCTATAATAACCCAATCTTCATCACTTTTCTACCATTATTATTTCTTTTAAAAAGAGGTAGGACCATACTGGCATGATTCTTCTTTTGTCAGCCATGGTGCAAAGAATAGTTTCACACTAGTTCAATTTTCCTGCTGAAGTGCCTCATACATTTTCCCATAAAGGAATGTATATACAAATATGTTAATATATTTGTAAGCATACATGTATAACAATTTTTTCCCATTTTTTAGTATTTTCAGTTATATTTGAAATTTTTCTTGACATTGTTTATATCCTTTCATAAGAGAAGAATTTAACTGAGTGAGATTATGCTGTGATTGTAATTTTATCCCATCATATAAAACTCCAGTATTTTAAGCAATTTTCCTGATACAGGGAAAATTGAGTTTTTTTTTTTTTTTTCCTAAACTAATTTGGATCAACCCTATCTCTTGTACAGCTGCTAGAAACTGCATAGAAACCATAGCTGCAGAAAATAAAAATAAAATAAAATAAAATAAAATAAAATAAAATAAAATAAAATAAAATAAAATAAAATAAAATAAAATAAAATAAAATAAGTTAGGATTATTTATGAGGATGAACTGGTTTTCATAGCTGGACTTTGAGCGCAAGAAAATTTTTATTCTTCATTCAGTAACTCTTAAATAAAATAAACAGCTGCTCTAGTCTCCTGTACACAATGAACCAGAAAATTTGAAGAGCATAACAGCATCTAGGCTATTGGAAGATAATAGAAATTCAAACTATGAACTGAAGAGTTCAGGATAGTTGTGACCTTACGCAAGTACTATATACACGTGTGTATAATTAAGCCACTAATTCAACACTACTTTTATAGCAACTGGAAAGAAACAGGCACTTAAGACACAGTTTACTTTGCCAAGTCTAAAATGAGGTGAAGTCTTAATAAAGCTTATTTCCTCTGTCACTGAAAAGAGCTCAAGGTACCAAGCCCAGAGGCATCTTTATCAAAGTTATCTACTTTGGTCAGATGAATCTAGGATGATTTATTCTTTCTCTTGTTGCATCATCTGTAATTCACATGTAGGTCATTGACATCTCAGTACAATCTCTCAGAGAGTTATGAAGTATTAAATAGAAATGCTGCCAGTATTCACTGAAAATTGCAAATTTATTTTTGCAAATGCTCCTTCCTTCCTTCCTTCCTTTCTTCCTTCCTTCCTTCCTTCCTTCCTTCCTAATCTGCGTTACTATCATATGCTTCTCCTCTTTAGAAAAATAATTGCCATTGAAGAACAAGAACAATATTTTTGCCCCTCTGCAGTGGAAAAATCTATCTTTCACATTTCAAGTAATTCCTGTGCGATCCTAGATTAACTCTTAGGGARACTCTTTAGGAAACATAGAGTATTTCCATGTAAAACTGTTTTCTATTTGTATCATAGTTTATAATCATATCAAGGAAACACAGCACAGGCCACCTTGAATTATCTGTTAGAGCATGATGAATCCTGAAATACATGTGATTAGGTATTTAGAAATAACATGCTGCAATGACTATTCTCATCCAAACTGATATCAATTTTAATTAGATAAGAATAAAATTTGACTGATATCCTGATGAATATAAGTAGCATCTGACCATGCAGCTCCTGAGTACATTCTGTTATGGCTTTTTAACCAATGGAAATCTTTGCTACAATACTGTAGTATAGGTTTTGACTTAACTAGATGAATGCACAGAGGAAAAATACTGCTATTTGGATGAGGCCAGTAATATTGGAAATATAGCCACTCTTCATATTTCAAGATAATTATATACTTATTTTCAGATTGCAGACAAAATCTGCTACTAAGACATCTAAATTTTGTCTGGGATTCATCAGAGACAAAAGCATGCACTTGTTGATAGCATCTGCCCACCTCAGAGTTATTTTAATAACAAAGACTAGCACAAATAATACCTTTTTTTTGGCATAACTTCTTTGAAGTAAAATAGCAATGAACAGGCAAAAATAAACATACCTCCTCCTTGGAAGCCCATTTCCCTGTGGTGGTCACAGCAATGGGACACGAAAAGGACAGAAGCCTTGAATTTGCCTTGTCAGATTTCTTTGTGCTTTGACAATGTGCTTTCATTAAGTTCTTTTAAATCACTCATGCAACAGGATATAAAATCCCGCCTCTGTCTTA